TTATATTCGAAGTTAAGAAAGTTGGGATGCGAAGAAGAAGCGCTTTTCGCAGTTTCTCGACTGAAAAAAAAGAAGGTAGACGTAATTTTAGCAACGTAAGGGATGATCCCATGAAAATTCGACACACGACGAGGTCGCCATTTTCCCATTCTGTCCATGGACAGGAATGATACCCTCGAGTTTCTTTGAATTCAGGATTCGTGTTTCACGTCTCGCTAACCCCATGACCTCGTCGCGATCAATTTTAGATGGAATTTCACTTGAGTAGAAACTTTACCCTGCCTAACGTATCGCAACTCACCATTTCGAGGCCGAGGCGAAACTGAAAATTACCTTATAAAACGCCATTTTGCTCGACGGAAAATAAAAATATTTCCAACAAATCGTTTCTCCAGGAAATATAACGCGCAATCGGTCGCACAAAAGGAGTCTGGATACAAGAAAATTTTATTTTCGTGCAAAATTTGTGTATTTTTTTCGAATGGAAAATTTCTTTGAATGCGCGAAATCAACTTATAAATTTTCACTGTTTTCGAATAGGTTAAAAATCTAATTATTTCATAGTTTAAAATTTTTTAAATTTTATTCTCATCTTGTTGTTATTATGAAATTAAATATAAACGTTGATTTTAACCAAAGTGATACTCCATTAGGGTGTAAAATATTATACCATTATCAAATCTTTCTGTAAGAGTATTACAAAGTGATGTTAAAACTTTTATGAATCTGTATATTCCACGTGTTATATAAGATCAACATGGCTATTGATTGACAAACACGATTCGTGTTTACCGATTCTTACCGCGGTACGATTGAATTAACCGATGTTTACACGAATGAAAATCGACGTATGGTTAATAATAACTAAGGAAATAATATTTAAACCATTCCCTTCCATTTTCTATCTATTGATTTTATCACTCTGCGGTCGAATTCGGGATAATTAAATTGAAACAACGATAAATTAACACGCGTTTCGATATTTGGACATTACATTATTGTCCGATAAATTCTCCTACAAAGATATTTTTACGACAAGAATAGTATTTATCGACCAAAGTTCGAAATTTTTCTATATACATATTCCATGCAATATATTTTTTATTAACGTGAAAAGTTTGTACAAAGTTTTGTAATCCTTTTTTTATATTTCTTTTTATCGAATTATTATAGTTTCGAATTGAAAGATTTGGAATCGATAATATAATGATATAGATATGCATTAAAAATTTTCTTATATACATATATATTTATGCATGTGGGAAAATTCTTTATTCAAATGTAATATTCTGATTAATCTGATATGCAAGATATGAGCAATCATATTTCCAAAATTGAATTTCTCTCTATATTTTTTTTTTATATCCAGTATATGCATCAAAGTATATCGAGTTGACCATCGTTGTAAATGTATATCAAGCGGCAGCGATACGAATACGTTGGATTAATTAAAAAAAATTAGCATGCAGAGAATAATTTCACTTACATTTCCATTCACAATGGATCTCTCGTTTTTTTTTCACGTGTATCATCGAGTGTCCAGAAAATACGAAACGAGAATAAAATTTATTTCTGGGTCAATCGACGAATCGTTCTTTTTTTTTTTTTTTTTTTTTTTACTTTTCTTGATCTATATTTTCCACGATATTACCCGATGAAAAGCTACGTTGCCGCGAAAAGCAATAATAAGAAATTCGTTCTATCGGATCCACTTTGCTCGTGGATAAAATTTAACAGGATGTTCGAAATCGAAATCGGCAAACGTTGCCGATCATATTTGGAAACGTTCGTTACGAAGGAAAAAATTAAAATTGCACGATTATTTTCTGTATAGTCGAAAAATTGCAATTAATTTTCCAGATTAAACGTGGAAAAGTTTTTATCGAGCACGAATTTTTCTCCGATGCACATTTTTTTTTGGATCTTTTCATCTCTTTTTAAATAGATTTTTACGTACAAATATTACGTTATTTTAATATTATATTCTGTATTATTAATTATAACTCTTTCGAATCTTATCATTCTCAAATTTCCATATACGTTTCAATATGTTCATTCGATATTACAATGATTTAATGACACTCTTAATTATCATTACACTTTTCTATGTGTTTATACAATTCTTCTTCTTTTACGAAAAAAAAGAATGCAACTGTTGAGCATATTTTATACATATTTATATCTTTATTTTATACGTATCTATTTATAGTAATTATTTATATTAATTATTTTCCCTATACGTATAACCATTCGACTTCAGTTTTGAAAATAATATGATAAAAATATGTCAAATACTATATACACAATCCTATATTATTATTTTATACACTGTATTCATTTTTATTAAAAATAAAAAAAATAAAAAGTTCAATATTTATATATTTCGTGAAATTGTATATATTCGATCGAAAAGCGATGGTTTTTACTGTACGAAATTGTGAAAATGAACAAACGAACGATTCGTCAATGTTGATGTACAAAGTGTAAATGTATCGTAATGGGGTCGCGATCGAAAAGCTCGAGTAGAGTGTATTGCGCATTTTAAATTGTTCAAATATGATGATACGTCCCCCCCTTTTCGCGGAATTTAATTCGACAAATGCTCATGACGTCATTTCAAATGACGAAAATTTAACCTGAAAGGGGAAATCGTGATAAATCGTGATAAATCGTGATAAATTCGCCGAAACTCATTGATCTCTGGCTAAAATTTCATTACGATTGACGACGCGTGATATCGTTAAAATGCCAATCACGAACTTTTTCCTCCTCTCCTAATAAATACACGGGGAAAATTTGTTGTTAGGCAACTATCGATAATATTTCGATATCGAAATATCGAATTCATTATATCGAAATGCGAAAATGTATTTAAAAGTTCGAAGAACTTTTATTATAAATGCTTATTTGCTGCAATTGTTGACATAATTATCGTTAATATAGAAATAAGTTTTTGATTCGATCTTTGAAAATTTGAAAATCGATTCTTTTTTTTTTTTTTTTACCTAAATCCTGGACGATTAATATGAACTAGATGATATATGTATTTCCTCTAAAACTTTTCTAACAATAAATGTTAAACGATGCGTTAAGCTCTTCGTAAAAGAGCTTCGATTTCTTTCTTATGTTCCTCAATAGTGAAAATCCAAGATTTTTTTATGGATTATCAGCTATTATTCAACTTTTTATATCAATCTCTAATCTTTAAACGGACCATCTAATATTTTATACATCGTCAAAAAACGTTTTATACGTCGTATATCAATTGTCACCAGTACGCTCTTTTCAAGATGAAAGAAAAACTTTATGTATTTTTTAATCGCAGAAATCATATATTATGTGAAAACTAGCAGTAGACCAAGAAAATTTTTATTCTTTAAAATAATAATATTTATTTTGGTTTATAAAGAAAAAAATTATATACCTAAATATTAAATTTTATAAAAGTCACAATTTCGAAATGTAAAAAACTTTTCTTTTATACTTTCTATTTTTAATTTCGAGGACAATCGTCCAAATTTAACAATTATAATAATATAAAAGAGAACCTGAACAGAATGATAATTGAATGAGAAACACGAATATTGTGGAAACTTTTTCGGAAGTGCTTCATTGTAATTAAGCACAGAAATTCGCAATTTTAAATGTAATTCACTATAAAATCTAATTTCAAGTCTCAACAATCATTTGTAGCTATCTATAGAATAGCATTGAATGAGTTTTATAAATAATTCTCTTTTATATTCTTCTATCATATATAAAGAATTAAAAACTTTTTTAGTTATCTAACATTAAGCCATTTAATAATGAAATTTAATATATATATATAGACACAATATTCGAATGCACATTTTTTTAAAATTCCAAACAATAAAAATATGTATGTTAGATATGTTATCAATTCAAATCTTGAATTGATAATATTATAACTAATAGATTGTGAATATGTCAAATTTAAATGTACATAAATATATAGAGTACAACATGAAATGCAAAAAAACACAAAATATTTAAAATATAATAAATGCATTTAAAGAATAAAATAAAGTTTAATATAATTGTAGAAAAATTATAACAATTACAAGACAACTTTAACTTTATACAATTCATTATTATTACATAAAATATTATTCATAAAAAGTAATTATGATATGAAATCTGAAATTATATGATATATATTTACATATTTACATAGATCAAATCTAATATGTATTAATTTATTATTTGATTAATCTATTCGATCACGTTCGAATACTTTTCTCGTATCGATCATATTTTTCTACATTTTCACATGAATATTTCACTAACTTTTACAAAAATACTATATATTATTTTCATATTTGTGTTATAAAACAATTATAACAATTTCGAAACTTAAATTTGAAATACTTTATGATCTTTAGATTTTTAATATTTTTGTATATATATATATACATGATAGAAGAACGAAGGATGATAACCTAAAAATTCAATTTTTTTATATTTATTCTTTATTTTTATATATTTATTCTATTAGAATTCCTTGTGAAATATATCTCAAAGAATATCTGAAGAATATGCACAATCAGTTCTAGAAATTCTGATCAAGCGAATTTAAAATTGGAATAGATGTACGTAGATTAATGCATATTATCGATAGACCATCGAACAACGGAAAATGGAGAATAAAGCACGATTCCCATCCAAACCGTTCAGTGTTATGAATTATCAATGAAATTGACTATCGAAAGCCGATACGTCAGTACAAAAATTTTCAGAATGATAGTCTAAACGAGAAATAGTTGGCAAAATTGTTTCTGCGAAAAAAGAATATGAAACAGTGATTTCATGCACATAGAAACACAACGACAAAGCATTTCGCCATAATCGCAAATAGCATAATCGATTAACTAACATCAATATTGTCTCTGATTTAATATTTAAAAACAGATTTTTTTATCCCTTTTTCTATATCTAATAATAACGTAATAAGAAATAAATGTTTTAAAATGTTCTCATACCTTCGTGTTTTAACTGGTAGACAATTTATATGTTGGAAACTGACCACATTCTGCACATTTTTCTCGACACTAAATCCTCTGGTCGTTCCATCGATCGAACTCTCTCCAACTTCACTCGATAATACGAAAAATCGATTTATTAATAGAAACTGATCGTTGAATATCTAAATATAAAAGTTTTTCGAATAAATCAATGGATAATTTGTAGACACATCACGATTAATGTTTTAAAAGTTTTCTATGAACGAAATTTCTTCAATTTATTCATAAAATATCAACGTTATCGATAAATGGATGACGGATAAATTTCATTTAATAAATTTCTTATTGTAATAATGGCAGAGAACGGTTTCACTGATTTGCACTTAAAATCGATCTCATGCGTATTTTAGATTTTAGATCGTTCGAATTCACGACAATATGCACATGTCTTCGTTTAATCAAATGAACGCGATATCGCGGGAAGATCGAAGAGAATACATTGATTTCTCGTCACTGGCTTGATGACGTGCCATGTCCGTGTATCTAAGAAAGTTTGTCGATCCTGAAGTTTGCCGATCTTGTTCTTTCGAGTCGAGTCACGTTCGAGTTCTTCTCGAGATGCTTCTTCACGATCGAATTTCCCGTATCGCGAAGTTTGTCTTATCCACAGACGATTGATCGTATCACCTTTCTTTGAATCTATATTCATAAGCTAGAACTATTAAAGCGTTGATTCATTATTATGTATGTACGATTACAAATTTAATTTACTTTACGAACGTTTCGATTGGTTTTAAACACGTGTTAAAATTTCGAAATAATTATTTGGTAAATGAAAGTTATAATTTATTTTGATTTATCTTTTAATTTAGTTATCAGGATTTTAAGAACACTTATCTAGGAATAACGTCGACACCGCGAAACCTCGTGTCCTTTTGCCGAGGACTGAACGACTCGTATTTCGCGTGCTTGATCTGCGACGCCTTTAGGCCGACTGCTTGTGAAAATGCGACTTGCTGCGCGCCACGTTTTCTGCGCATGCACCACCATCTTTTCGATACTCTTCTTTATGCGTTTTCGATTCTACGACAGATTGTGAGTTTTTGATTAATTTATCTTTGTTCGGTTACTTTGATTGTGCTTTGATATGTTTTTTGAAGTGTTGAAGTGAAAGTACATTAAAATTCTCAAGTTGCTCTTAAGAATAATTTTGTGGTGGAAGCTGAGATGAGAGTGAAAGTCACTGTTGGATGATTACCCTTACTATGGAGTTCAAATGTAAGTAACATTCAGAAATTTTGGGGATAGATTTTAGAATAAAACTCTCAAAAACTACTCTTGAAAGTAATTTTTTATTAGTGAATATTGACAGTAATTTTTCATATATGAACATTAATTCTACTGAGAATGAAGTCTATTAGCTATTGGTAGTTAGTCTTGATATAGCGTTCATGTAAGAAATAATTTTCAAAAATTTTGCGAATAAATTTAAGAATAAAACTCTCAAAAGTTGCTATGGAGAGTAATTTTTCGTTAGTAAACATCGCTCTGAAAGTAAAACTTATTGAACAATATCTGCTAGTGAAAAATAATTCTTAATAATTTTACGAATAAATTTGAAAATGAAACTATCGAGAGTTTGGTTAAGTTAGGTTAGATTAGAAATTATTTCGCAATGAATGAATATTGTACTGAGTGTGAATGTTATTATCATATAAATTATACAAAAAATTAAATTATTTCAATTACTTTTTATTTTTCTTAACAAAATAAAAAAAGAAAATACCGATTTTAAAAAATTGAAAATTCTTTTTCAACATTTTTTACTTTTAGTTCTAGAAATGATTTTTTTAGGTTATCATATACATATCCATATGTGTACAACTCTTCAAAAAAATACGTAAAAATACATAATTATAAATATAATCCATTCAATCTTAAATTTCAATATTTTCTATTTTCATTAGCATAAATTTTATATATGGTGTATTTATTTTTATCGCATTTGTTTGCCTCTATTATAAAAATAATAATAAAACTTTCTTCATTAAAAATGAAAATTATTTCGGATTCTTTTTTTATTTTTCTCAGTTTTGAAATAATGCTTTAGTTCACTTTGATACTTTGTAACAATGTAACGATTGTGTATTGGATATACTCATAATCGAGAGGCCAAAGATAATAGCCAAAGCTTGAAGACCTTCCGCTTCCGTAGCTCGTTAAGCAGTCCTTGCTCCAGTAACTTTTCGAGACTAGGTCTCTGTTCATATATCATACACACGATTTTGCTCTAATTATTTCACGAGGACGAACATTTTAATGCGATTTCACAGAAATGATGGATGCAGTTCAAGTGCATCGGACTTTGTATACCGTCATTACTATACGTTTCGTTTCTTCGTACATATTCATCATACTAAAAACGCATATATTATATATCTTTAGTTTAAAGACATACAAATCTTTTAAAATATATAATTAAATTCTTCTTTTTTTTAAATATAATTTAAATTTCATTATCCTTGAAATTGGCAAAGTTATAATAAATTTTGTTGTTATTTTATTGATGTTCAAAGACTATGTTATTATGATATTAATAATATAATCGAAATTATATTCAAGACAAATAAATTTATTTTTTAATTTCAATTTATCATTCAGGCTCTTCTTGCATTCAACATTAGAATTCATCTAAATTGTATGTTTTGATCTTGTTAGATAATAGATTGCATAATGAATTAGAAATGCAAATGAAACCAATTAAACATACCACAGAAATGAAAAAAACTTGGGTCTAGGAGTAATATTCTTATTCGTTCCCCATACGAGCACATATTTCAATTTACTGATAGCAAAATGTATGTACACTGATATATCTTCTTTAAATTCACAATATTTTGAAATACATGAGGTATCTCTGCTATTCCAGAAATGTTTTTCTTCGTCGAGATACAAAGATAAAGAGCAATATAGGTAAAACTTGTTCGAATCGCATTAAGATTTCCACGATAAAAAGTACGTTTTATAGATTACTTGATAAACTTTATACTTACTTATAGTTTAAGACAGAATAAAGCTAAAGAGAAGCTAGATGAAATTTTATATTTCTCTTTAACCATACTTTTCAAACACACTTACAGTATATCTCTATACATATACAGAATGTAATCGCTTTATGAAATATTTTGGAGGATTGGTTTTAGAGTCAATATTAACATCTTTGTATATTGTAATAAAGAATCAAAATATTCTGATTTAAAGATAAGTTTTAGTCTGATCTGCTGATTAGAATTTTCATTTGTGATAAAAAATATTAAATTAATTCATTAAAGTTAAAAAATGTAATTATTTTAAAATAGCAATGAATTTGTTTTTGATTATTATAAAAATGAATTTTAAAAAGCAATAGTCTTGTCACATATCAAACTGTAATCTAACCATTGTAATTATCATAAAAGAAGATCCCAAACTCAAAATACTATTTCAAAAAATTAGAAACGAATCTATTATTAGTCAGACAGACTAATGATGATGATCAAATATCAATATCATGTTACTTTTAATATATTAAGTTGTTAGTACAAAGATTTATCTTGCACATTAATAAAACATACATTTACAATTTATTCGCAAATTAAATTTGTAAATTACGATTAACCCAGCACTATCGATTCACTACTGTCATTTAATATTCATAATCTCTTTTGCAATTTATCATATTAATCATAATACCATACAATTCAATATCTTTTAACAATCGTAATTTACTCTTACCTATATGATCCTTGATCCCATCACTAGAGGCTAATTGCACGTATTCTCTACCGAAAAGCTAATTAACTACAAACAATAGACACGTGCATGTTAAATAACCAGGAACAGTGCAACGATTGATGATTAGGATGGTATTATCGATTCCGTTAACGATGCGAGCCCAACTCTTTAGGTTCACGTAATCGTCTACCCGTCTTTCGCTCGCATAGCGAACTTAATCGAATGAATGCTCGCGTGACAATATGAAAGCGACCGCACACTATAGCAAAGCACACTTCTATGTGCAAACGTAGCATGTACTGTGCAACCGCGAAATCACTTGGAACGATAGTATCTAATGCAGTGCTTGTAACGTCGAATTCGTCTTGAATATTCGCTTTTGATGAATGGTTCGAGAGAGCGTGGTACATATTTCGTGGAAACTAAATGTTCGGCAAGTATTAACAATCAAGAAGTTTCCTTTTATCCTGAAAATTGAATCCGATTGACTCGATCGGTAACAAATGTCTTTCGGTATATCGGTAAAGTTAATTTTTGAAATCTTTGAAAGTTTATTTTTTTAATTCGACAATTAGGTAATTAGAAGAAATTTAAATAAATTCTATTAAGCGAGATAATTATTACAATTATTTGGAAAAAGCTTTTTGATAAAATATAATTTTTTCTTTTTTGGTAAATAGAAATTATAATGGAATTTAAGTGGAAATTGTAGGATAGCATTAGGATATTAAGATACACAATGATAGTTTTTTTTTAAATTATTTCATTAATTAATGAATTTATAAATAATAGTACAATACTTTAAAAGTATTTATATATAATAATTTTTTCTTCGAATAAATTATACAGAAGAAATTATAGGATAGCATTAGGATACACAATGATAATTTTTTTTAAATATTTTCATTAATCAATGAATTTATAAATAATAGTACAATACTTTAAAAGTCATAATAATTTTTTCTTCGAATAAATATATTTAAGAACAAGAAATATATACATATAATATATTTTTAAAATGTGAATAATTGATCCTTTCATCCAGAGTTCGAATCCAATCAAATAAAGTTCGAACCTATTTACAAGATTCCATCGCCAGTAACTAATAGCCAGTAACTCGATAAAATTGATTCGAGTACCTGATAGTTGAAAGTTTTCACCCTAATAAACGTACCACGAACGTTTGAAAAATTAATGATTCGACGACGAACTGGGACAAGTCGTTACAACTCTTACAACTAAAATAAAATATCCGATCATCCAAAATCATATTGTACCTTACTTGTTAAATCTTAATTGCGAAATCAAAGAAATCACGAGAACGAAAAACTATCGAAATTTCCAATTCAATTTTGACGAGAAACACTTTAGACACCATATACACCGTAAATTGAATACTGGCAATGTAGGTATGCTCTCACTCACGCATTAGCATTAGGTCACTGTGAGAGCCTATATACCGTATAGCGATTAACCGTATCTATTTGCTCGAATACAAATTCGAAACGCGACCCTGCTTGATTTGCATTCCATTCTATTAACGAGTCACATATAATCATGAATTCCTGATCTTCCCTCAAAACTCATCATCACATCTAGTATATGCAAAGTTGAATTTTTCCCTAATTACAGCAATAGATATTGACTCGAGATATTTCAAAGAGAATCTCTCTCTCTCTCTCTCT